AGTGTACAAATTTTTGTGCACCGGGCCTCTGGTCTCTAATGATAAAAGCGTAATATGCTAATTAGACTGGAACCTCTTCTGGACGAAGCCAGGGCTGCGAGGAAAGCCCGGTTCCTGGGTGCCAGAGGGAAGCCGGTGCTGGCAGCCAGGGGAAGAAAGGCCTACTCTTGGACAAATTTCATGCATCGGACCCCTAGTAATCTATACTAATAAAAGGGTAATATGCTAATTACGGAGGACGTCCACCCAGACAAAGTCACAGCGGCTGCGAGGCCTGGGGCTATCAGCAGCTGTGGGCTCACGGCAGCCGTTGGCTCAGGCAGTTGCAAGGCCCAGGGCTCAAGCAGCCATGAGCCCCGACGGCTGCGAGTCCTGGGGCTCAGGCGGCCGTGGTCTCAGGCAGCTATGAGCCCCAGTGGCTTCAAGGCCTGGGGCTCAGGCATCTGTGAGCCCCGGCAGCTGCAAGGCTCGGGGCTTAGGCCTTGCTCCTACCACGACCGGCAGTGGCAGCAGCAGCAGCGTGATGGAGGCGGCACCTTCCCCTGATAAGCCTGGTGGCCTCCTGCAGAAGGAGGCCAGGTTGCGGCTTAGGCCCGCTCCCCCCGTGCTTTTGTTTTTGCTTGTGGGGAGCGGGCCTAAGCCGTCAGTAGGACATCCCCTGAGGGCTCCCGGACTGTGAGAGGGGGCAGGCCAGGCTGCCCCCGCCTCCAATGCACGAATTTTCATGCACCAGGCCTCTAGTTATAATAATAATGTTGGACATTGTGAGCATTACCACAATGTAACACAGAGATACAAAGTGAACAAATGCTATTGGAAAAATAGCATCAATAGATTTGCTTGATGCATGGTTGCCACAAACCTTCAAATTTGTTAAAAAAAAAAAGTATCTGTGAAGTGCAATGATGCAAAGTGCAATAAAACAAGGGTACTTGGACTTCCAACCATACTTCTGTGGACGACTGATGATGACCATAGACCAGGGGTGGGCAAACTTTTTGACTTGAGGGCCACAATGGGTTCTTAAACTGGACCGGAGGGCCGGAACAAAAGCATGGATGGAGTGTTTGTGTGAACTAATACATGTTAACACTGCTGCTGGTGAAAGAGTGGAGGGGAGAGCAAGAGAACCCTCCGCTCTTTTGGCTCCGTGGGCCAAATAGAACAGCCGAACGGGCCGGATCTGGCCCACGGGCCGTAGTTTGCCCATGGCTGCCGTAGACCTACAGGAACCCCAGTAAACAAAGAAATATTGCTTTATTTTCCCTAGAGCATATCCTATCTAATAAAAGAGAAACATGGTAATTAGCCGTACATCTGCTACCCTTCCCATTGGCTAATCAGGGCGATATGCAAATTAACTGCCAGCCAAGATGGCGGCTGGCAGCCAGGCAGCTTGAAGCGAACAGGAGGCTTGCTTGCTTCAGTGACGGAGGACTCCAACGTTCTCCGCTTGCCTTGCCGCTCTCTGAGCTTGCAGTTTGAAACATTGTTACAAA